GATGACATGGGCTACTATAAATTACAATATGAACAATAGTATAATCTAGAGAAGGAAGATAAGAAAAAAAAAAAGAAATAAATCTCCCCACGACCAGTGGCAACATTTCACATACCTTATATGCCATTGCTAACATTTTCTTTCGTGCGACGACTGTATCGCGGTTCTCGGTGTTGAGCGCCTTGCTCTTGCGTGCATGGACGCGTCACTTCAGTCTCAGCAAAGCATTTTGCGGAGTGACTGTGCAAATAATGGAAAGTCTACACAACTCATATTTGGCAGTGGGGGGTCTTTTCTTTAGCATAGGAAGATTTCGGTTTTGGAGGGCTCATTCGCGTCGAACACCGGACCACTTCTAATGCGAACGTCCGAACAGCTCCATGGAAGAAGGCGGAGACTTGCAAAGGGTGAATGACAAAATTCAATTTCCAAAGTCGCCATTCTAGTCCTCAAATCACAATGCAATTCAATACACACCCTCCCCACAAATTCGAAAAATCGTCCAGCACACAAGAAATCCAAGAAATGAGGTAGAATTAAGGATGCCAACAGGTTGTCACTTTTGAATGTTTATTAAACTCTTGTTAGTTGTTTAGGTTGAATGTTTATTAAACTCTTATTTGAAGTGTTACTTTTATTTTTTATCAAAGACTAGAAGTAATCTGGGCTTGGACTGTGTATAACTTACATTACGGGTTTAGTATTAGCATGAGAATCTAATACATAGCATTCCTAGAACTTTCCATGTAAACATTATGATCTAATGATCTAAATCAATTACAGTATTTTCGTGTTGGGTCCTTGCACGAAACGGATGGACGTTTTTTACTTTGGCCTAAATATTTTATTCTAAGCTGCTGCGACTATATCACTAATCTGATCATCTTATACTGCTTGTCGCTATATTCCTATCTATTCGATATGGAGTCTGTGAGTGCTTAATTTTATACCTGTATAGGTGTCCCCATATACATGTACGTGCGAATATATCACTTACATGTGTTACTAACAAGATATGTTATACTACATAAACGTGTATAGAATGGAGAGTATAAAACGACTTTTAGATTTTGGGGTTCGATGTACCGACTGTAGACCTTCCCAAAAGAACGGAGGGGATCCAGGATCAAGTCAGTAAGAGTGCGATTAAACAGTTAAAAGTTTTGTTCGTACCAAATAAGAACAAAGTTCCACTCAAAGAAGTTGTGGGTCATTTCATCAAAGATGTGTGAAGTAAGTGGGTAGAAGATTATTCCGGAAGATAGTATTTAGTTACACACAAAAGGTTATTTAAGATATAACTTGAAAGAAGACATCGCTCCTTTGAGCTGGATTCGAGGTGCCGGTTACAATAGTGGTACAACTTCTTTTCGAGTAAGATTATAAGCGCTGGTTAAAGTTGTTATGTATATTCAAGGACATTTAGGCTGAAATGTTATGGTCTTTCTGGGAACATTTCACCACCAAAGGGCATATCAACCTGGCTGAATATAATCGGAGCAACAGGACTAAGGTAAAGGTTATACGAGGGCAAACCATGCGTACAGTGATTTAGAAAATTTAAGGTATATTCTGATGATTATAAATAAGAACCAAAAATCACTTCTCAAATAGTATTGTATTCTAGTCTGTATCTGCGTCAAGATACGACGTATATAATGTATGGAAAAGCGAATGACTGTCCCTGATATCGTGGTCAAAAACGCCTATAGCACCATTAAGCCTGAAGACTCGAAATATTCTGTTTGGTTAAATAAACTGTTATACGAAGTTATTATGATTAGTATATAGGATGAGGGCGGAAGTGGTGCAGTGACAAGTGGCGCGCTCACCACGCGAGCGGTCCGGGGATCAAATCCTGGGTCGTGAGTCGCCCGGGCCAACCAAGCCTTCCATCCCTCCGGGGTCGGTTAATTGGTACCAGACTTGTCTGGGAGGATAAAAACACTGACTTGTACATCGGCTGGCCCCGCAAGTCATTGTATAGGCCACATCGCATTCAAACGCCACTGCGAATGTACAAATGGAAGTAGAATGCGTGCCGCATCCCAAAAAGGGATTGATCAACGGCAAATGCTTTATCCTTTATTTCCTTTATATGGGTTCGAAGTATGCTTAAGATGATAGTAAGTCGCTCATTATTACAGAAGTTCAAATCCAGTATTCTGGCTATATCTAGGCTGGGATTATGCGGACTGGCACGGGGCACCAATAAAGACTAAAGGTGTTAGCTTCAGACCACCATTCATGAAGAGTTGTCACGTTGCATGCAAATTCTTCGCCTCAGACATGTTTCGTTTTTAGCTTAAATTTCCGTCATAATCTGCTTGTTGCTGTTGTTGACCTACTCGCAGGCACACAATGGAAGTAGGCTGCTGACCATACTAGCACGCGCACTATCTTCGAAGCACAATTTTGGGGTTACGATGTTCCGATTGTGACTGCACGCCAAGTCCGATATTGCGGCAGCTCTGTGATAGTAAACCTTACCTAAGGTCCGAGTAAACGTTACTTGGACAACGTATAACGCCAGACTTGTGATCCCTGAGGAACGAAGTTGAATTACTGAATTGTTTTTTTTTTGGGAGAACAACCAATTCATTGCAGTTCGGACTTTCTAGTAATAAGTGTGTTTCGTAGAATAAGCCCAACTATGATGGGAAAGGGCTTCGAGAAAGGATCTTACAAAGAATCCTTCCGGAAACACCGTGGAAAAACTCTTGTGTGGGCACTTTTAGGAGAGGTCGCGCTGATCTCGAATTCTGCCTATTGTGATGGTAGATTTGTGAGCAGGGTCAGCCCTGCGTTGCGCAAATTCCGAAATTTTTACGAACCCCTTCCTTTTCGGGGGGTATCGGTACAACTCCCTCCCCATATTTAACTACCATGTCTTTCACATAATTTTAACTGCTCAAAGTGGTGGACCGTGGTCAATACGCGCGCTTTGTCTCGCTCAGAGGAGGGAATCGAGGCAAATGAAGGTTTTGTTCATTAAATAGAAGGAATTTCCAAATTCTTGCATAAACCAAAATCAGTTCTTAATCGTTAATTTCTACTTTCAAGAAACCCACCAGGATTTTTTCGATCTCTCAACTTTCCTTACCTTATAATCTGAAAAACTAAACCTTGTAGCAATTACATTGCAATCCAAACCCCTCCATTCAGAAGGTTATATTTTCTTTCAGAAGCTGTTTCATGAAATCGGACACCAAAATTTTAAAAATATAAATAGTTTTCTTCCTGAGGAGTATTTGAAATGTTGTGGATGTTCAATATTTCAAAAAATCGTCCCGTTGTTCCGTTTTCTGTGCACACGCGAGTTTTTGACATTCAAACATTCATAACTTTCTTCATAATCAACTTTTTGCAAATGTCTAAGGCTAATTAGAAACTAGAAGATTAGAGCTTTCGAACAAGCACCTGAAAATTTTCCAGCGATCATTTTTCAAAAAATAGTCCCGTTGTTCCGTTTTTGGGTGGTTTGGGGTCCGATTTTTGAGAAGGCGCGAGTTTTCGACATTCAAACGTTAATAACTTTCTTCATACTCAACATTTTGCAGATGTCTAAGGCTAATTAGAAACTAGAGGATTAGAGCTTTCGAATAAGTGCTAAAACTTCTTGAAATAATCACTCGCTCAAAAAATAGTCCCGTTGTTCCGTTTATTCCACCTTGATTTTTTTCAAGCCATTTTCCTGGACCGCGACTATGCAGTTTTCAAAGGCCCATAACTTCCTTTAAAATTAATGTGATGAGAAGCGGTAAAGATTGTTGGAATCCACTCGAAGAGTACTTCATAACAACTGTGAAATTTCCTGAAATTCTTTCTTCTGCCTCAATTTTCCTACGGCGTCTCTAGAACTCAATTCAGCAAATTCGCTACACTTTGTTTCGCTTAGATTTTATTTGAAAGCATCGAAACTCTCTTCAGAAAGTTTGTCTGCTTACGGCCGCTGACAGAGGAGGCGTTTTTATGGGAAAACGCCTCGGGTATACGCCGTGCACCTATCTGTGGGCAGAGTTCGCACTCGCATTTTGAAGTCTTCTGTTTTCCTGAAGAAGGTGTTAGTATCCTGATTGAGTTGTATTGTGCTGTTATATGGCACTCTTGTTTCACTTTCCCATGAACTGCTCTACACTTTGTTCTCCTCGGGATTTCAGGAATGTTTCATCATCGAAGACAGACCATGTTTTTGCACTACACTGTAACAAAGTTTTTGGCTATTGTCTATTGTACTCTTGATCTATGCCGCGGAGCAAAAGCGCCGTCCGGATAGCGTCGATTAAGGATAATAAGCTGATGGTGAGACTTATAGTGCTCTGCATGCTTTAATGCTCCCATGGAGCTCATGTCTGTGTGACTCTCCGACAGCGTGCAGAGCTCCTGGAGAACATTAGAGGCTGAAAGTGCACTCCCGGACACTGCACTTTTCAAGCCGTCTTGCAGCCCGTCTGTGGATACGACCCCCTCCCTTTTCGGTCGGCTGAATACGACCCCCTCGTTGTTCTTTGCGCAACGCAGGGTTGACCCTGATCCAGAGGCCGTGCCACTGCACTAGGTATCTCCTGATCCATACTCACATTTCCATGATTGAATCACACAATCTCTAAGCAACACGCGCATGTTGTATCTTTTCGTGGGCAACAGACGTCAGAGCTCAACGCAATATAATTTATTCGGTTCTTTAAAGGGATGTTCTTCTTGACTGGAACATTCTGTGCAGTGACTATATTGCGCATTCATAACGTTATGAGGTTGTAATGATTTATACAGATGGGGTAGCACTTCGTTCCTAATACAATTATTGTTAGCGACTAGTTTGGCATAGCTTCTGTGTGAAGGAGCACATTAACTCGTTTATGAAACCAACAGATGAAATCTCATCACCTATACCCAGTGACCCATGGATATGCATCGATCGATGAAAAAAAAAGATGTCGGGGAAGATGTGTAGCTTTAAATGGTTGAATGTGTATCATATAGATTATGGCATTCTCTGATCATATGATGTGCAGACAGCTGATGGCAACCATAACGAACAAGCCCAACAGCATCATGGCGACCTGCTTGACGTTCTGCCTGGAAAAACAAAAGTCGATTTGACAGGAGTTTCCATAAAGGAGCTCACATAGGCACTTAAAGGAATCTTCCACGGACCATGGACCAGTGGGCGGGACCGGAAGTTTTGTGACGAAATGCATGGTAGGTACGGATCCACGTGTCGAACGCACGAACGTGAACAGGATTCACTTCAAACCTTCCCATGAACGTGGATCCGTACCTACCATGCATTTCGTCGCAAAACCACTTCCGGTCCCGCCCACTGGTCCATGGTCCGTGGAAGATTCCTTTAAGCAATAGCAATGGTAGTTGTCACACCTTCGATCCTTCTCTTGATTAAGTTCCGGAAGAATTTGTGCGAGAGCGATATTTATGAATCCTCCAGCAGTGAATGGGAGAATCCAGTCAGCTGATTGCATAGAATCATTGTTCATCCACAAAGCGAAGAATGCTCCAATAATTCCTCCGGAGGCAGTAACAAGCTAAACAGTTCGTGCCCTCAATAACTACGGCCACTGTAGTCGACCTTGCGAATCCAGCGAGTCGCTGGTCATTCGCGGAGTACGAGCGATGAAGCAGCTGTTCGAACGAAGCCTCTGTGGTCTGGTATTGTGAGAAACGGCCTATACCCTTGCATGACTTGAATATTAGCGAGAGTCAACGTGCAAGAGAGTCCCGCCGCCTTTCCCATAATTTGAATTGCTGCTGCATCGCTCAAATCGCTGGCGCATCGCTCGTACCTCCCGATTCGCTAAACGTGAAGTCTGACACCGACTAAGTGAGTGGTTCTAACAGGTATATAGCCCCTTGCACCCTAGTGGACAACTTCTCATCCTGCTTTTCTCAAATGTAATGCAGCCATCACTTCACTGCTCAGCGATTATCTCACCGCACGGCTAAGTATCAAAAGTTAAAAGCTCACCTGGGCCTTGACTGCCTGTATTCGGTTGAAGTCTGCGCGAAGCAGGATTGCGAAGTCGCTTACTTCATGAGGAATCTCGTGAACGAGAATAGCGAACGTCGTCATCATGCCAAACTGATAAAAGAAACTGAGCCCAATTTGCTTTTCAAGGAATTCGAGGAATACGTGAGAAAAGGAATTCCAGTGTATTAGTATCCCGTGTAGGGACAGGCCGTGTAGCAGTACTGCTGGCGCGCGGTTCTGACGACAGATCAATTGACGTATCACTTTAGTTTTTCCGGGGAGCCGATCAGCTACGTTTGCTGCGGAAGTAAATTGTTGGTGATAGCAAGTTATAATGACTGAGAAGAGTTAATAAGAGACGTATAGGAGTTGATGAGTGTCAGAAAATTAGTTGCACACTTCGTGTTAGCAGGAGTCTGCAGATATTTATAGGAGCAATGCGTACAGTGTGAGACGGGGATACGACAGGTAGGTGAGGGAATGTGATAACAATTGGTAACGCTGACAGGGAGAGTTGGGGAGCAGCCAGCTTTTTAACGCCCTTTGCTGTGAGAAAATTGTTATACTGTGATAGTGGTCATGAAACGTACCGTTTTTGAGCCTACTGTTTTAGATAAAACTTCACTAACTGGATAACGAAAAGTAAAATCGCTCCACTAATGGTAGAGGAACATAGAAGGAGCATGCTGGTTGTGATTTGGCCGATCAAAGCATTATGTTGACCTTCAAGGTTGGTATCGGTGCAAGGAGGACCACAGGCTACAGTAGCGATCAAAGTGTTAGCCGAAACGATTTTTAATGCATTATTTTTTCTCGCTTGAGCAACGCCCTCCAAAGATTGATATACTATGTTTTCTAGTGTTTTTATATCCTCAATTCTTGAAACATCGAGGGAGTAGTGAAGAAGACGAAGAACATCCGGCTCCGTGCCCACCTCTTCGATTCCGCTGTCCTTCCTGCCCTAACCTACGCCTCAGAGACTTGGACTCTGCGCAGGCAGGACGAGCATGCGGTCAGCGTTATCCAACGCGCTGTCGAGAGGACGATGCTAGGAGTAACCCTATACACGCAAGTGCAGAGGGGAATCCGGAGTGCCGAACTACGCCAACGATCGAAGATCAGGGACGCTGCCGTTTTCGCCAAGGAATCGAAGATAAGGTGGGCCGGACACGTCATGCGATTTTGCGATGACCGTTGGACCAGAGCGGTTACCGACTGGATCCCTCGGGACGTCAAACGAACACCTGGACGACCGCCGGCCCGATGGTCAGACTTCTTCACGAAAGCTCTGAACGAAAGGAATGAAGGACTTCGTGTCCCTCGAGCGAGGAGGGTCCACTGGACAACTCTGCACGCGACAGGGACGAATGGAGACGTTGCTGGCGCCCGCTCGAGCAATTCGATGATCAACGGGACGACAGGTGATACAGGTGATACAATTTTAAAGAATCCGGATATTCAGAAGAAAAAAATTTTCGAGGCCACTATTGCTTTTTCCTGCCAAACAGAAGAGAAGCACGAAAAAGCGTTTCGGCGAGTACTTTTGACCGCTACTGTATCTCTTCCGTAATCCATATATGAGTAGCAGCATGAAAGTAAGTCACCATCTGAATCTCATCATGCACTTTACCGCTGACGTCTGAGATGATGCAGCAATCCGAGAGCATGATGTTGATCATAAACTGCCTGATGTCATTATGTGAAGTTGCAATACATAACCGCGATGAGGCAACGTTAAAGCACATGTGCACAAGAGCTTGTTGTGCTCCTTCTCCGCATAAAGGCATTATGTGTGATCGCTACTTGGAGCGTACAAAATCTCATGCACGAAAATTCACTTCCGGGAAAATTTTCCAGATCCACACCGGGGGCGGTCTACGGACCCCTCGGCGGAGTCAAGGAGGAGTATAGAACAAAGAATGTGGTGGGGATGGCAGACTAGATATCCCTCTGTAGGTTGGAATTGAGCCCATGTCTCGAAACTTGCGAAGTAAAGAATATTTTCGATCAAATTAGGATGCAATATGTAGTATAGAAGAGTGAATTGTGTTCGTCGTGGGTTATGGGAACAGATTTACTAGTGATTGGACTCCAATAAACAGGCGGGGAGTCCTCGCCACTACCACTTGTAGCACTTCTACGGGGTTCAAGTGACAGTAGGTTCACTTAGTTATCTTGATTCTTAAAGGAATCTTTCACGGACCATGGTCCGCAGTGGGTGGGCGGGACCGGAAGTTTTTGTGACGAAATGCATGGTAGGTACGGATCCACGTGTCGAACGCACGAACGTGAACAGGATTCACTTCAAACCTTCCCATGAACGTGGATCCGTACCTACCATGCATTTCGTCGCAAAACCACTTCCGGTCCCGCCCACTGGTCCATGGTCCGTGGAAGATTCCTTTAAGTCAGTTAGCCTCTTATGTTACTTTACAATTTACCAAAATAACGCAATTTTATGCTCCTAACATTTCCATCGTGGAGTTTTCAAGCTACCTATTAATCGGGTGACAGACCATAGGACAGGCCATGTTAAGTTTGGTGGAGTCTGTTAGAAGTCCATGGCGCCTAGGGTCCTAGTGACGCGTTTCGATGTAGAAAGGTGGCGCTACCTTTGCACTTGCGTACCCAGCACTTCTAGCCATGGTAAGGCTTCTTAGGTGGGTGAGCCCGAGCTTTGCCTTTAAGCAGCGGTTCGAAAGCCCGAACTTATGTAGGGGGAAAAGATGATTGAAAACATTTCTGATATAGTACCTTTTCTAACTTCTGGAATATTCGAAGAGGAGGCCTTGTGGAAGAAACAGAAACACTGGCAATGAATAAACCTCACCTTAGGTGATATCAAGAAGCTGGCACCAACAGCTAAGCCATGAGTGAAGTTGTCAATCAAGTTAGCGGCAAGATTCATAATTGCACAAATCTGAAGCAACATTATTTACCCCAACACGAATGGAACCGTGCAAAACCAAACCAACTTTGCGCTGACTTTTCTCCGTTGTACTGCAGAGCTTTTCGACGAAAAGGCATGCCAACAGACCACTCATTGTGAACATTCCGATACGACCAAAGCCACCTGAATTACAACTAAATACAAGACAACCGCAAATCCAGTACATCTGGAAAGTGATTGTTGGAAGCTCTACCGTTGTTTTCATTCCATGTTGCAGGTAGTATATGAAGAAAGACATCACCAAGAAGGCTGCCGACCGCGAATGAAAGAAGCATATTGAGATTACGTCTGCCTTCTGAAACGACTCATAGAGAATTCAAATTTGAAGCGAACGCTTAAATATTCTCTTATGGCTTACCATCTGTACTGAGGTATTGACTGCTATTGGCTGGAAGTAACAGTGCTGGTAGAACTCCGCATAATACTACTAAAGTGCACCCCAACAACGTTAGTAAGCATACGGAAGGAGTAACGATGCTTTGTGGTGTGCTCAAGAGTCGTGATATTTCCTCGGCTTCTTGGCGCAACTCCTTCTCAATACTGAAAGAAATTGTACGAATGATCCATAATTCACAGTAGATTTACTACACACCTCCTTGACCGATTTACAAGCAAGATTTCCTTCGATTTTTCTCTGTTTTCTGACAAACTTTTCACAAGCAGCGAAGGATTTGGCCTTTCTTCACCACAAAAAAAGGTCTCTTGGTAGTTCTCGCAATCAACAATAAAATGTATTGGCTCGTAACTTAGTGCTACAAACTTTCATAATGATCGCAGACATTTAGTCATCAACAGAAAAGGCTCATTGTGAGACACTACGTCCGCTGGCACGACGTCGCGGATCGCAATATTCTTTTTTGAGCTTTTTTGCCCATTGATGACATTCAATGAAGTAGAGTTTTGGAGCCATTACACCTGGCGACTACTTAGACCACTTCCTTGGCTTGCGAAGTAAACCTGGACTATAATTTACTCGTGGCTAATGTTTTGCTTTGTCTACAGTGAGGAAGAATACAGGCTGTTGTGTTCCCAACTTTCAACGTGTCAGAACGCAGATGTCACTGAACCAAAGTTGAGGATCATCTGCATTCTAAAACGGTACAGGAGGGTAGAGAGAAACTGAACACAGTAGAAGAGGGAGATGTGAATGCAATAAGTCAAAAGGCCAGAAAGAGTTTCTAGTGAAGGCACTCCAAGAACCAAGTGGAAGCATCCCCGTCGCCAGCATTTGTGAACAGATGTCCGGGGTACTTTGAACGCGTAGCAGCCCTTTCGGTTTTCGAATTTTTACCAAAACAAAGCAATTTTCTGTTCTTTTCATTCTTATCGTGGATAATGAGTCTCAAGCCAGTGATTTATGGCTGAAATAGAATCATGATTTTTCCGCGAAGGATTCCTTCAGTTCCTTAACCTAGTAACGTCGGATGTGGTGCGAATGGCGATCAAAGAAGACAAATCACGCGAGGAACCCACTGATCTTTATATCATCAGCGTTGGTGAGAAGCGTTGCAGCGACGGTTGATGACTGCAGTTTCGTAATGGACTAGCGCCCTATTCGCGCAATATGGGCAACGATGCACGATCTTTGAAGAGACGGAACACACACGGATCTCTCGCGGTATCTTCCCTAATAGTCGGGCTGATTCTGAGCGTGACTTTAAGGCAGCTCAGGAGGCGTTTGTACTTCTGCATCGAACAGGCGATATTGAAGGGGAAATGTGGGGTGAATAATATGTGATTACTATGGCAAAACATCAGAAATCTGCCGTTGCTGTTCTTGAGTAGCACTCACGTGGCTGCTTCAAACAGTTGTTAGCTGCCCGCCTACGGAATGACAATATATTTAAAACTGTCTTCTACTAATTCCTAGCATTATTTAATTTCGTCAACCTCATTGTAGCCACAACTTTTCAGAGGAGGAGGTAAGCAACTGTCGGTTGGTAGTTCACCAATAACGAATGGAAGGTCGTATTTGGGACTTGTGAATGAGGGTAGGGTCACGTTTCTGTTTTTTGCGCATTAGACTGTAAGGTCGTCGTTGATCCCTTCAGAAAAGTTGTAGTGGCGGATGTTCAGGGGTCGTGTTATAGTGGTGGGAGAGGGGATCGTTCTGACAGTTTCTTGTGACACTTTTGACTAAGTTTTCATGAAGTGGAAATGAAGTAGGCGAAGTTGCAGCACTTGCCGAGTCATGTTTTCTTTTGATCTGCGTCGATTTGTTTCAAAATCGAACTCTTTGGAAACAGCTGTAGTAATGGTTGATAAGGACTCCCTCAAAAGGTGGGCCGCAAATTTCAAAAATTTCCGATATCACGGTTGACCATGAGAGAAAGCTCTGAGATGGGTGCCACGTCCTCCCTTTGCAAAAATTGGGATTACTGTAGGCGGCACGACGTATAGTACCAATTTGGCCCCCCACTGGAATAGACTCCAGAAAAGTTTTTCACGGAACGGCTGCGCAAACGATTACCATATTTGTCGAAATACACTTACATCTGAGCCTTCCGCTTGAGAGGAGCAATGAATTGGCGGCCGTCGGGATCGATCAGAGCCTCAGGTCGGCCAGCGTCATCCTCAAACGTTTTGTCCGCATTGAGGTTTCTGGCTAACAGCCCTGTTGGGTCTGGACCAGCCGCAGGATGATTATGTACTGAAAATAACGTGAGATTCGTTGACTTCAAGTTCATATTTCCTAACAAAATCAACCATAGAAAGAGATTTATGCAGAAAATCTGCAGCTGATTGTCTACTTTCTGAAGTATCGCCAAAATGTTTTGATTTATCTCATATTGAAATACGTGAAAAAATTTGTTTCGTTGTCCGCGCTCTTGAAAACCAGAGGCGCAGTGTGTAGCGCGTGCACTGCTACGCGCGACCACTTGCGCCATTTCGGAGCAGCAACTACAGCTTTCATAGTCAGTGATGGGAGGTTCGCAGTATTCCACAAAAGCGGATCAGGGCTTTGCCATGAGCAGTTCCGCCTTCTCATTTCGTTTCATCCACCAAACTGTAAACAAAATGAACAATTTTGTGAACTATTCCGAATTCCGGCTGAATTACTATGGGTGCGCTCAAAAATTCTGGTAAAAATGCATCGAAACCACCGCGCGCGATATGTGTACTCTCATCGCTCATCTCCCTAACCATTAGAGACATGAAAATGTCCCGTTTTGCACACTACCTCTTGTGCTCCAAGATATGACTCGCTCGTGCGTTGCTCCATGGAAATTACTGCAAGCTGCTCTGACAGCTTCCAGTTTCGGCTCTTTTTCAACCCTTTGACTGACAGGTGGAGCATTTACTACCACCACATTTGACAGACGGTTTCTTTCTACCAGTACCTGATCAGAAACCGATAAGAAACTACAAAATTAGCTCTGATTTGCTACACCTCAAGGGCAGAGAGGGTTCTGAACGGGTTCAGAGTTTTCGGAGTGATGATAAATGGAGCGCCAAGTGCGAGAAAGAAAGAGGGAAATCAGTCACGTCATGGATTACAATACCCCCCCCCCTCCTCTTATTACCACTGCATTTTCGTCCATGGATGAGCGGCGGCCAACAGGTGGTTTAGACACGCTAACTCCGATGGTCGACATCATGCCAACAAGAGCTCTTTACTTCAAGTGGCCTCATTTTCTAATTTGTAATGTGTAATTCTTTATCAATCGAGGCGGCACAAAGTGGAAGCGCTGCACAAACCATCAAATAGGTGCGTGGAGCGGTTATGAGGCATCACGGTTTCCAATTTCGAAGCCCTACTGCACTGTAACGACCCCACCTTTCGCCACGAAATCGCCGCAGTTTTCTTCCTCAGCCACTGATTCCAGTGGCGCGAATACTTCCCGTTTTGGAGCCAATTTACCGTAGCCACTTCCTTCAAAGCGATCTACCCTAAACTAATTAGTGAGGAAACGTCTAGCGCAGGTCTTGATTTGTCGGTGAGCGTCGCCCCAAAAAGTAATTTTGTAAACCGGTCGGCGGACGAGCGGAGGGACGACGCGTTCCAAGGAATGGGTAAGGTCTATTTCGCTACGGTTGCCTTCGCGCAGAAGCATCACATTCCGCCCAGTGAGAGCCCATATCCCCATCCCGGTGAGCACATTTGCTCCTCTTTGAAAATTAATTGAACGAGCCACCTGCCTGCAATAAAAGGGTATGCCGTTATCAAGTCGTTTTTAAAGGAGTAATTCTAATGATACTCTTATGGGATGAGCGAACACTGCACCTTTCTCTCCCAATGTTCAGGAGTCTCCTCACGATCGTGTTTCACAAAAAGAAAAAGAAAGTGGATAAAATATGAATACGGAATATGAAATGTCAAAGAATTGCTTTTCATAATGCTCACAGCTAGGTAAAAATACTACGCATTTGTCGGCAGAGTGTGTATTGTCGTTTGGAGTTCACGCTTAAGTACCAAGCACCTAGCGGTCCTGTAACGCGCGCTGAGTCGCAAAAGCGACGCAAGCTCTAGTAATTTTGCAAGAACATTTTCAGCGTTCGGGTGGCATTAAAATGAAAAAGCGAAATAACTATTGATCTAAAATTGGTTTCCATCCCTAACATGGTAAGAGCTGTGCAGCTGATGTGATCCCAAAAGCAAGTAGAAGTTTCTGATAGAAGAAAGTGGACAGTTTTTCTACAATTTACCCATCTGCTCCTTTATGATGCCAAAGCTGGTTCAATGTGAGCACGGCATATTTCACACTCATCACACTTGCCCAGCTTCCCCAGATGTCACTTCTTCCGCTCATGACGTCTGTTCGACGGAACAATCTTTGGTTTCGAAAATGCACAAAGGTTTCGATGCTTTCGCCCAGAAACATTACAAAGATTCACAGAATATAAGAGCGAAGTGTTGCAATAGCTGGATTGTACCACAGCACGTCCGCTCCATATGAGTATTGCGCCCCACTGGAACCGCTTTCCTGCCAATAAACCTGCTCCGACGGTATCCGTCTACAACTACTTCACTTAGCAGAAAAACCTGACAAGTAATCAATTAAGCCTCGCTTCTTAAAGTATGTGACAAGTCCACCGTTCTTCATCCTCCTTCGAACCTAGCGCTAGCGAGTATTAATCCTAGACATGTTACGATCCTGAGCTTTAGATACCCAAAAATTTCCTACCACATTTTGTGAGGAAAGGGCGCTAATATTGAACTGAAGAAAAATGTTGGTAACAACTTCAATACTAATGTGTAATGCAATAGATCGAGCATAGCATTAGATAAGGTAGGAACAGCTCACGTCTTAGAAGAAGGAGTATTCCTGGAGTCAGCAAAGAAAATGTTTGAGGAATTAGGTGTGGCGCAAAGTAGGCTAGCTCTTCAGCAATTTCAGTAATGCTTTCACTCAAATACCTATGTAGAGCAATCGGTCCTTAAAATGCGCCATTAAATCAGGTCTAACGACCGTGGCAGACCTGCATACATACTCAGATGAAACCCATCTGTCCAATCCAATGTAGATAGCCTTCTGAGACGTGCCACCAACCAATAAACATGCTGTCAAAGTGCCAGTTTTACAGCCCGTCCAAGAGTGTAAAATTTCCACAGGTGAAGAAGCAGTACTTGTTGCACCTTGATAATTGGTTTCAGTTGAATAGCTGACAACAATCGGTATCAAAATCCTCTATTAAAAGATCCAACCTCTCAAATTCAGTTCAACCCCTGCGAGTCATGAAGATCGGCAAACATCGCAAGTTATTATACTCAAGCCAGGATATCGGAAAGGAGTCCACACTACCTCAACGCTTAGAACTTCAGCTGCGGCAAACTTCACTTAACTTCAGAACTTTAAGCTTGGTACAATATTCTCGTGGTTAGCTTCTACCCATATTCGTTGGTCGATTATCTGGCAGGTAGAACTATCGGCGATTTGGCCTGAAACTGACTTGCACATGGGCTGGTCTGCAGTTACTGCATAGGTCAACCACATCGAAATATGTATCACTACGATTTTAAATGGAAGTGGAGGCGTGGCTCATCATTAAGGAAATTTATCAACGCCAAATGTCTTTTGTTTCTTGTGTTCGAAAGATTGGGAAGGCTTCCCGATGTCCCAGCATGATGTCTTTAATTTTGTGAAGATTTGAAAGGAACCGGTTATTGTAATGGGTTGACCCATTATGGT